GGCCCGTTAGGACCGCAGGCCCGGTCCGGTCCGGTTCAGGCCCGGCCCACCAAGCAGCATTACCCCAATATAGTGAAACCCTTATTTTTGTCACTTTAGACATTGTAAAATAATGATTGATAAGAAGAAGAGACAAGTATGAACGTAAGTTTGAAGTAAAGTATTGAATGAATTTTCATAAAATTGAAACGCCTTTAAATAAGCAAGTCCGACATTAGGGTGTAGAATTTTTCTATGTAAAACACAGTACAATACTACGTTTTATGTATTGAATTATTGTTATGTAAGTTTATTATTGGTGGGGCCAAAAACCAGAGTAAAACACAATATAATAATACGCTTCACTGTAAAACGCAGTATAGTACTGCGAATTACAAAAAAAAATTAAAGTAAAACAAAATATAGTACTGCGTTTTACTCATTTATGTAACTTTTTTTTTAAGTAGTAAAAAAGTATTTTTTGTCCAAAAAATCATCAAAAAAGTTTAGGATTCAATTCTCAATAGACACACAACACAACACATAATGCCATCTTACTACCACTTTCCTCTATAAAATTGTTCGATGAAGAGGAATAAAAAAAATAAACTAGCGAAAAATCATTGGCCGATACAAAGGACGCCCGATCCCAAACAGACTAAATTATTCGCATCTCTGATTTTTTTTTTTAAATCAATAGAGATGGGTTTTTTTAGATTTTTTCTTGGTGAATACAGTAAGACGAAGGTGCCATCACAATCATACCATACTTCACAGCATTTAATAAGAAGAAATTAACTCTAATTCTTTTCTTTGAAAAAATAACATTGCAGACCTATGAAACTGTTATTCTAGATCCAACATGAAAAGATTAGCTTTATGAGAAAAAAACACCTAAAAGACTGCAAATAACCTTTAATTTTATCTTTTTACTTCAGAAATAAGAGTATATTATAAACTTTTTTATATCATTTCACAACAAGAAAACATATGCACCAAATGATCCAGCCATTACTAATCTTTGTATTACAATTTCACTAAATAATCCACTATCCAGTGATTATTAATTTTTTTATTACATTTCTACAGTATGATATTAGTGCATACGCACCAAGCAACTCATTAGATTGCCAATTTTATTAGAAAGGTGACACCTCTTTCCTACTGAAGTATTTTCCTGATGGACCTCCCTCAGGTAAAAGAGCAAGCCAAACAGGACTTTCAGCACCCTCTTCAACACTCAATTTGCCACAATTGATAGTCATATCAGTTTTGACATAGCCTGGACAAACACAGTTGATGAGAAAACTTGGGTATTTCTTGGCCAATATTCTTGTGTAAGCATTCACTGCTGCTTTTGATAGTGTATATGCAGGTAAAATCAGAGGCCAGTTTTTACTTTCCAACAAACCCTCCTTCAAATCTTGCAGAAAAGTATTCAAAACCTCATCTACTCTCTCTTCTGTTAGATTCTCAGCATCACTTAACACTCCTACAGCCCATTCATTGCGTACATACTGAAACAACATTAATTGTGCCAAAATGAAAACAATATAATCAGAAGATCGCTTTGTCTATTCTTTAAAATTGTAAGAGTGTACATGAGTGTATAGCATAACTGGTAAAGTTGTTGTCATGTGGCCAGAAGGTCGCGGGTTTGAGACGTGGAAACAACTACTTGCAGAAATGCAGGATAAGACTGCATACAATAAACCCTTGTTGTCCGGCTCTTCCCCTGACCCCGCGCATAGCGGGAGCTTAGTGTACTAGACTACCTTTTTTTGTATCGATATTTAAAGAAATGAGCAAAAGAACAAACTATCGTAAAGATGTCATATTTTAAACGCAATTTAAGTACGTTATTGTAGCTCTCATGGATGAACACAATTTCTGGCCCCAATAAGAAAAGTTCGTATGTAATTAGATGAAATACCTCCAACTTTCCAGCAATGGAGGAGACATTGACAATACGAGGTGAATCAGAAAATTGAAGTAGAGGTAATAACTCTTGAATCATCTGTTTTGCCCCATAGTAGTTTGTTTTTAGACATTCTTCAGCTACATCATAAGTTTGAGTTGCTACGTTTATCTTCTCCACGAATAGGTCTTGCTGCATCACCAACACAAGATTCATTTCAAATGGATAAAAGAATGCGCTGAAGAAATTCACGGGACCATAAATTGCAGTAGAAGAAACTTTTTATTTTGTTTGGTGGAGTGGGTGAAAGCAGAGGCGGATCCAGGATTTAAATCCTATGGGTTCAATTTTAAGGTTTTTAGTATTGAACCCATTATATTTTTAAAGTTATGGGTTCAAATCTACTTTTTTTGTTATTTTATTGAATTTTTACATATAAAATTTTTACTCTGCGTCGAAAGTTATGAGTTCAATTGAATCCGTAGATACAACACTGCATCCGCCCCTGGGTGAAAGAGAAATTAGTTACAGTAATTCATTACTTTTTAGCTATGTTGCTCGAATTCTCCAAAAATGTTGTCGAATGCATGTTGGATCCTCTAAAAGTAGAGTATTTTAAAGGATGTGATACGGATATGGCGGCATCTTAGAGCGTCCGCACAACACAGCCTTTTAGTGTGTATGGTATCAGTAGTATGTGAATTCAATGGAATATCTGTAAGCAAAAGAAGAATTGATCATGTGATATAGTCACTTACTTCTGGACTTGTAATTGTAACATCTTCATCCATAAGCAATCCAAGAACTGCTGCATTATTCACCTGGTACGTTTGTTCAGAAATGATGTAGTATTATGTTACATAAAGGTTAAGCCAAATCATGAACTGTTAATTAAGCAAACATAAAAAACTATAGATTAAGAATGCAAATCTCAATTTGAAGTACTATATATTATATTAACATGTTATTCACTTTATCTTTTATATTACAAAATTAAACATGGTATAGACAGTTGCATGTACTAGGAGCTCACCTTAACCTGATGGTATAAAGTACTGGTACATTCATTTGTTCTTTTTCTTATAAAAAATGAAACCAATTTTCTAAATCCAAAGAGGACACTACTAGAAATTCTGCCAAAACGTCAAAAAATCGACCGAAATCTGTCAGTTTTTCAAAATATTTTCTTTTCCAATTTTTTTTTACAAAACCGACCAACTTCGTTGTTTTTCCTGGCGCAAAAACGTGGGAAACTATTTTGGCGTCTCATGAAATTTATTTTTTAATAAACCGACCAAAGTTTCGTTTTTTCATGTAAAGTAAATTAAAATTAATATTCAAAAAACCGACTTCGGTCGCTATTTTACCGACCAATCTAATTTCGACGGATTAAAGTCGGTCTATTTTTCGAGTTTTCCGACCGATTTCGATCGGTATTTCCGGACAGTTTTTCGCAGTTTTCTAGTAGTGGGAATTTGGAAGTGGAAATTACCAAGATATCAAGCTTGCTAAATCTGGCCTTGATGAAATCTTTGAGTTGTGCAACACTAGAAGGGTCAGTCACATCAAGTTTATGAAAAATAACATAATTTGAGAGGCCACACTCCTTTAGTATATCAATAGCTTCTGCTCCTTTCTTCTCATCTCTAGCTGTTAAGATCACCACTATCCCCTTTGAAGCTAGCTGTCTACATATTTCTAGTCCTATTCCTCTGTAGGCTCCAGTCACAACTGCAATCCTGATAACAAATTTGAAACCATAAGAAAATAATGCCCCATCTTACTCACACAAAGATATAGAGCCCGAGCTAGACAATAGTGAGTTATGTTGAACCTATTCAAATCTACCATTGCCGATAACAACAACAAACCAATATAATCCCCCAAGTGAAATTTAGGAGTAATATATAGGCAGACTTTCCTAATCAAAAGACAGGAGAGCACCCCTTCCCCCGAAGTTACGGGGTCATTTTGTCGAGTTTCTTCGACATGGTTCTCCCAAGCGCCCTACTATTCTCTACTTGTTCACCTGTGTCGGTTCGGGGTACGGTCAGTTCATTGGGAGGATCACCCTCCAATTCACCTTGATGACTATGACAACAGTCGCGACTATAAACAGATTAGAGGCAAATAGAGAAATTCTGGCACTGCTGATAGAGAAGGAAAAAAATCAAACAGAAAAAAGGAGTGAATGTTATTGAATGGAGAGGAGTACCTTTGAGTTGCCAGGAAGTTGGAAGGTTCTGCCATTGGTATGAAGTGTTGCGTGTTCGAATGTGTTTAAAAAAGAAGAAGAGTATTTCAGGCCCACTGTGTTCCTTAATACATACAGTAGTATTGAAAGTGAGTTTGTAAATGATCCAACGTTTTAGTATTAATCATTCGACGAGTGTGTGGTAGGAGGAGACGTGGAACAACTGAACAGCTACGACCATAAATACCATGATTGAGAATTACTCAAGAAATTTACACAAAATTGATTATTGTTTTCTTTTTTATTCTTAATAATAATTATTCTTGAAGACTACAAACACCTAACTTTGTTTAAATATCAAAGAAGAAAGATTAAATATTAAGACATAAATAAGGGCAAAGTAGTCAAAATCTTATCATAATGAACTTTTCTTAAAGGCGTATACAAGAAAATTATAACAGATAATTAGGGGTGTTCAAACCGAACCGAAAAACCGCACCAAACCGAAAAACCAAACCAAACCGATTAAAAACCCGACTAGGTTTGGTTTGACTTGATTTGGTATTGAGTAAAAAACCCGAACCAAACCGACATATAAATATATAAATTTTATTTATATTTTTAAGACTTTATAGTGATTTTTCTTTAGAAAATATAGAAATATTTGGGATCCTCTCATGTATTAACCTTGAAAGCGTAAATTAACGAAAAATTATTGTTAGACGACTAAGAAAATAACTATCATGTGTTACTAAAAAAATTCTCCCATTAGAATATTTTAATAGATCATATGTTTGTCAATTTTTTCTATATTTACTAAACATATATTTACTTATCAAAGCTTTATCTACAAATTTAATAAAGTAAGATTGAAGTAATATTCATGTAATAAAAAAAAATAAAAACCCGAAAAATCCAACAAAATCGAACCAATCCAAATCGATATAATTGGTTTGGTTTGATTTTGATAAAAACCGAACCAACTCGATTCATGTACACCCCTCTGATAATATGGGACGGAGTGAGTAAGACAATTGGCAGCCACGCGTTCTCGAATCACACAAAAAATCTTAGAGCTACTGGTCATGGTTCCCACTTAAACCAGTCTTCACTCTTCATTTCCTGTACTTTCTCTTTTTGTATTCTTTACATTTTTTGGTTCTTATTTATTTTTATTTACTTCATTTTTTTAGTCATAACTCGGACTCAAAATACCGCGATTATAAAATTATGTTCTTAAAGATAAAATAAAATGTATAAAGTTAAGTTTTTTTTTTTAAAAAAAAGAAATATATTATTTTTAGAGAAAATAATATCATATAAACTGTAACAAAGAGAATAGTTAATTTAACAAATTAAATAAATCTCAAAATCTTGTTTTAGAAAGCAAAAATAGTGTAACTCTTATTTAAACTTTTTCTCTCTTCAATTTCACCTTTACTGATGCAATTAGTAAAATCTTAATCTAATTGAAACGTTTATAAGAGAGACAAACAACAATCTTAGAGAAATACTCCATAATTAAGATTATTAAATATCTTTCTTAAAGAATACAAAAACTTTGAAAGACCAATAATATAGCCGAAAAAGTATTACTATCAATTTTAAGTGCACATAAAAAACTATTTGCTGTGAATACTGGTTAAAGCAGCAGATACTCAGGTTGATTGGTTAGCTCATGAGAAAAATGCTTGAGAGCTCAACCCTAACCAACAAAAGTACTCCATTCATCTCATAATTTACATTAAATTCTGTTAGGGTTCAGAATGTTTGAAATAATTCCATTAATAATTTTATTCTATGTTAATTGTCATAACTTTGGAAAATTCAGATTCATAACTATTTACATTTGAACTTTAAAGTCATGTTTCTCTATGGAACTATTGATCAGCATCCCATTCCAACTACCATCAGTATGATATATAAGCCGAATTACCGTTTCAAACGCTATTTAATTTCAACAACAACATAGACCCAATATTTCCCAACAAATAGGGTCTGGGGAGGTTGGGGAGGATATTCTGCACGCAAAAATGAATAAAGTTCAATATAGAGAAGGTATCAGCTTTTATTCTCAGATAACGAATACATCTCCTAGCCAAAAACAAAGGTTACATCAAGAAGAATGGCTTACAACAAAAGTGCATTCAAAAATGAAATTTGAAGAGCCCACGTCTCTTCCTTGTTTCAGCTTAAATTAGTCCTTGCAATTGTACACCTTAAACAATTAAGTTCGCGAAAATTTGACATTAACAGGCATAACTGCGTGTAATTTGGAGTGCCAGACCTTACTCCACTTCTCGTGCACATAAAATTTCGACCCAGGAGTTGCTTCATTAATCGTGAACAAGAGGACCATAGACAGGGTACCACATATTACTTCTCACGTATTCAATGGACTCCTCCTGCATCGAAAGAATGAAGGTCTTGAGTAAAGGTGGCAAAAATATTGTTATTTATTGTCTATACCATTATAACTGTTGTTTCATTTCGTTTAGGAAATCCTAGTAACATTTTTGTACCTTTGACATATGCTGCAACTCTCTTGCCCCAACATCGCCGTGACCTTCTGCCAGGTCTTCAGCTACAGCAGCCCGTAAAACAGCAGCTCCAACCTCTGCTGTAATATCCCGAATACTGCACATAAAAGATATATTAATACCCTTCGACAGCAATTTCACATTTGCTACCTCCAAAAATGCTTTCTCTAACTGCAAAATGATTCCAACCAAAATACAAGTTTCCTGAAACTTCATCCAAAATCTCATGACTAGTAGTCCCCTCGCAAATTTTAGTCTCCTCAAAATCATAACCCATGGACAAAAAGAAGAAATTGTTTCACCAACCTTAGCACCATAATCTATAAGATTAACTAGCTCGTATTCATCACCTCAAAGTTTAGATCTCTATATGCGTGTTCACAATCACAAAAAAAAAAAAGTAAATATATAAAAGAGCAAGTAGGGGGAGCTGATTGATCGAGTGTTGTTCATGTGAACTAACAAGACTCAGGTGCAGTAGAATTCACCCAGAGTGGTTATAGGCACTTTACTGCTACCACTTTCGCATGGTAGTTGCAAAAGTAAGAGTGTGCATTCCTTGTGTCAGCATGTAACAGGAAAAATCAAAATAAGGAGAGATAAACCTAGACATTTGTTCTAAGCTGCAACTTGAACTTGAAGCATCATTATCATCAGCATTTTGTGCATTGACAATTTTGACACCCTCAAATATGCTTATTACAGTTGAATGACATAGTAACAAGGAGACAGGAAACGCATGTGATCCAGAAATCCTATATTTTAGGCCAAAACCAGTGGCTTACACGTTCAACTAACACGATAAAAATATGATATCAATTTAGAAGTTGCACCAATCAATGAATCAATCAGTCATATATATATAGTCATTGCAGGGACAAGGTGGAGCTGATTTAGTGATTAAGATTTCAGGTCTTCAAAATAAAAGCTCCATGAGCAAAGAATGCTTTTCCCAGGACCAAAGAGCTTACTCGTTAATGGATGGATACAAGATTCCTCTTTTGATTTCGTCATCTGACATGTAAGACGCGAGGCTGCAAGTGTAAATAAATATACAAATCAGAAAATGCGAGATAAGAGAAGGTTTCACTGCACCACATATTTAACTAAATACAAATTAAAAGCTCACACCACTGATGGTCAAATCAAATACAAGGACACAGGATTGACAGATCATACCACTCAGCAGCTGCTTCTAACATTGTATCACTTATGTTTCGAGCGCCAGAAAGAAGAGCTCCCAGACCAATGCTGAATTGCCAACAATAGTGTTAGATGAGTGCAATGCTCAAAAAATTAATGTAGGTTTACAATCAGCACCTACCCAGGGAAGAGATACATGTTATTCGCTTGATTTACATGGCCTATCTTACCATTCCCTGAGAACATATTAGAATAGGATTTATGAGGTAATACAACATTCGTAAGCGCAGAAGAGACCTAAACTGGGAGGTAGAGATAATTTAATAAACAGAGTAGCTCAGTGACTGCAATGACTATACATTAAGGATACAAAGAAAACGGGCATTTAAGAAACAAGAAACTACCTAGATCGACATTTTCAAAGGGACTCCCACTAGCAAAAACAATATTTTCCCCAGCAAGCTTGAAAGCATCAACAGGACAGCATTCAGCTGTTGAACAGAATATACAAAGTAAAATGTAAGATCAAGACAAACAGTTGGTAGAGGAAGCAAACGATGGATGACAAGACAAACCATTGTTTGTGGGATTTGACATGGCAAAAATTGCAGGTCTAACAGAATCTGACTCTCGCATGGCCCTCAGCACCTGAAAGTTACGTCAACATTAGACAAACACAAGCTGATATCAAAGGAACAGAATTACAGCAATACAATTTCAAGTGATTAAACTGATCAAGAAAAAATGTTCAAATGATTTAATATAAAGAAAGAATACACTATAATGAGAAAATTCCAGAAAATAAAACATCACCTAAACTTTCACATAGTATATTTCTTTCTTATGCTTTATTGAAGAAAATCCTCAAGTACAAGGTTGTTACTAAGGATAAAAAGGGAACAAATATAAATGTCCGAGAGGAATCTGCCATATTAAAGGAATGGAATAGGAAGAATATCGGTAGATGAGATCAGATATGATTGTCAATGACATAACTTCACAAGTTTGTAGTGAATCAAATGAGTTGACCAGAAAATAAGATCAAATTATGTTATAACTCCATGATATCGTTTAAGGACCAGCAAAGGAGTTGTGTGGATGGATATATGATGAAAAAAATTCAAATAAAACTTTATTCTACACTTGTTAAAGACCGAGTAAAATGCTTAAATGTGCCAAATAAGTAACTTCGAACCAGAGCAGCTAAAAGAATAAAGATCCAATCATTTCCACAAAGTATCACGAGAAGCTGAGATGTCAAAGAAATAAATATGGCTGCTCCACTGACACAGTTCTGAGTTCCAAGCATGGCAAAAAAAATGATAAAGAAGGAAAAAGAAACAAAGTGCATGACCCACCTCCTCATGAAATATACCTCCAACTCCTGACAAACCAAGAAGCACATGAGGCTTCACCTTTTTTACCTGAAGAGCATTTAGTCCTGGCATTAGTGTCTCAGAAAGCATAAAAGCTCACAGACGAAGATAGCAATTATTAGTCCCTATGGCCTAATAATCAACAAGGTCAACAAATTTTAACAAAGCATGGACATCCTTCTACCTAGAGCAACTTAGTTTTGTGCGTACATACAGCAAATGCCCAGAGATTCTAGTAACATTACCACTTCAAGGAGACCTGCTCCCTCCTGTAGTCCTAACCCCTCAATCTCATGATGGGCTTTAGCAAATGGTAATGCTGCTGGATCAATATCTTTCCTATGTTTTGTGATAAGACCCTGCATCAACATTGACCAATGACCGTTACAGTAACATCACATAGGGAGGAAGCAAATCTTTAACAACTGATGTCATGGACATAAAACATATGGTACTTGTCATGCACGGAGCCCAGAGCCTATTGGCAACTGAAACCTTGTTTTCATCTATAATACTTACTCTTTTAATTATAGAATGCTTTAGTTCTACCCTGCAGAAATGCAGGGTAAGGCTGCGTACGATAGACCCTTGTGTCCGGCCCTTCCCCGGACCCCGCTCATAGAGGGAGTTTAGTGCACCGGGCTGCCCTTTTTTTTTTAGTTCTTCCCTCCAATTTATAATGCTTATGTATGGTTTGATATTTTTGATAAATGACACATGCAAAAACAGGGAGCATATTTACATGTTCTGGATCAACATGGACGATAAGCAATCCCTATCATCTATACAAAAAAAGAAACTCACATTTTTATCCAGAAGAAAAAAGTGGGGATCTGCTGATGGTCCAGCCATTCTGGAAACGGCTTGTAATGCCATCTTAAGAACACCAAGCCCCGCACTGAAATCCAGAAACCAAAAAAGAAGAGAATGCAAAATTAAGCCACCTCAAACAGGCATCTAAATAGGATAAATTTCTTTATAACCAAGGATAGCTTGTTAAAATTAATTTTGCCACTACCTTCCTGCTCCGACTACCACTATCTTTTGGTTGGCAAAATCAGTCAATGGCCGGCCCTGTGCCCTAACAGTTCCTAATAGCCCAGCAAGAGCAACACCAGCTGTTCCCTATTAAACAAGAAGAGCAGAAGATAACTTCTTCTGCAAGTGGTGGCAGCAAAAAGGAGAATAAGAGTGCCAACAAATAACCTCCAGCAAAAAGCTGAGACCAAACACACTACCTGTATGTCATCATTGAACATGCAAAACTTTTTCCGATAGCGATCCAGTGTCTCAAAAGCCCACTTTGCTTGAAAATCCTCAAACTAATAGCATTATTCAGATATATCAGTACAATAGAAAAGAAGGGGAAAAAAAGGAAATCTTCCTTGGAAAATAAAATGGACCTGCACAACAGCCTTTGGCCAACGAGCATGAACAGCTTCCACAAATTCATCAACTATTGACAAATATTCTTCTCCTTCCAACCTAGGTTGTCGAAGCCCAAGATCTGTAAAGCAAAACTCATGTAAGAAGCAGTATACTGCAAGGACCAGAAAATCCTCCAGCACAGAAGAAGCCAAAACCAAATGAGGCGTGAGCATATTAGGGTACTAATACTTTTTTTTTTGGAGTACTACACATTAAACAATCTTACTCACAAAGAGGGTCTTCCAGAAGCTTCTGATTGTTGGTACCAACGTCAAGCATAACTGGGAGCACCTGTCAGGCATAGCCATAGTAAGTCTGGCAGACAACATATTTGAAACAATGAAGGCACACCATAACACAGAAGCGTTAAGTAGTGGAAAGTATAAAAATCACCAGTTCTGTTATTCAAGAAGAAAAATTGTGTGTTCATCAATTTTGACTAAATTGTACAAGATACTGACAATTATAAATGACAGAGCAAGACTTGACAAATAACAGCTTTAGCAGTCATTTCTTAAAACTAGATCAAAGCATCAATTTAACTCAGGAATCATTTCTTTATTTAACTTCATTCTAGTCTTAAGGGATAGGCTAGTTAACCAGATTGATATCCTTGCAAAATCCATTCCAGATGTTTATGTTCCATAGCACTTTGGAATTACAAAGCGGCATATGCAAAAAATACAAAAATAGATGCAACACTTAAACTCGCGTCGTAGTTCATGAATGTGAAACTGAAGAACAAAGAGTAACTTTTATACATACTCTTTGTGGGTTGATACCAGCAGCTGCTACGTACATGTCAAGTTTACCAATTGGTATACCTATCCCCTGAACTCCAAGATCGCCAAGGCCAAGAATACGGCTTCCATCTGTCAGCACAATCATGTCTACCTGCAAACAGAAGAGAATCCGTTGGGTGATTCTATTTGATCAATGCCATAAGTTTTTGTTCTTAAAAGACAATTCATATTAAAACATGTCAAAGTCTGGAGATTTTCTCAGCTCAACTTCATTTAAGTTTTGCATAATTCTGAAATAACATCTAAGTACTATTTAACTTTCTATAGCCAAGTCTTCCAGACAAATATCTGAAATGAAAACGAAAAGGAACAATATAACACAGGTCTGAAATAGTCACTGTACAAACAAAAAAAATCACCACTAATTCAAATGACAGAAGAGAAAGCTGAAACAGCAGAAAGTTGTGAAATCACATAATACCTGAGCAGAAGGCCAGTTAAAGATCATTGACATCATCTCTCCCTTATCTTTGGCACTGAAGTACATGCCACGTGGACGTCTAAACAAGCCAGAGTAGTTTTGGCAAACCAATCCTACTGTTGGAGTGTATATTATGGGAGCAAAATCTTTGATATTATCAATTAGAACCTGAGAAGAAAGGTTAGGGATTTAACTTCAGTCAGGAATAGTTCACTTGCTACTATTGCAAGCGCAATTTGCAACCATCAGACTTACTCGGTAGTACAATGTCTCATTCCTGTCATGCAGCCTGTTTAAGATCCTCCATTTTGCTAATGAGACAACACTGTCTGGTTGACCTTCAGTATTTTTCTCAAGCGAATGAAATGATTCCACTAGCATTACAACAAAAGAAATCATATGGCATTAGACAACACAACTTCAAGATAGATATCTTACATCAAACTTACTATCAGAAAGATATGACGATACACTGATGGATATGCAATACCATCACTAGCAACATGAGCAAAAATGGATGCAATGTTCCTCAAATCTGATAGATAAGACAGTTGAATAGGAAAAAAGATAAAGATCTTTCCAGAAGATAAACCAGAATGCAGTCAAAATGGAAGATTTGAACAAAAAGTACCAATATTTTTATTTTTAGCAAGATTAGATGTAAATGCTCCAGACTTTCTTCCTCTCTTTTTCAGCGAGGAGGAACTAAGTTTATAGTTTTTAAAACATGTTGGTGCAGACATGCAACATGCCTAGTAAGACAAGAAAGCCAATATATAAAAAGATCTCAAACTATCATTTTATAACCAAGAAATTGTTTTTCCCAGCTTCGGAACTCGGTGGATGATGGGTTCACCCCTCTATCCTTTTTCACCTAAATGCCGAACTTGGTTCACAACAGGATTCAAACTTGTAATATGGGCCTACGGCACATCCTGTGGGTACTACCTTTGCCATTGAACCAAAACCTTAGGGGCCAAAAGATGTCAAAGTAGATGGTGCTATCAAGCCTCAATAGTATTTCCGCTACCATTTCTTGGAATATTTGGAGTTAGCGAGCATAATGTTGACACATCATAAATCACACTGGTATTTAAGGAAACAAATATGTCGAACCAACATTGACAACTCTTCCAGCACCTCATTGCATCAGGCATTTCCATCTGTTTATTACTATATAGTCCTGGTGATAATTAAAAGAAATGTTCATCCATGTTCAAGATTCTTCACTAAAGGGGTATGCTCCGTAATCTTTTGAGGAAACCAGCAACAACCAGAATCTTGGCTTAGGACATTTCTAAGGGGATGAACTGTCTTACAACAATCTTGACAAATGTATGAACCACAAACCCTGCCAAAGAAAAAAGGAAAAAAGATTGATAGTAAAAGAAACCCACTACGAAGTATTATTACCAAACTAAGTTGATGGTTCTCGTCAAATTTTCGTGGCAGTTTTCACTTTTCATTGTCTGTATTGGCTTTCAACATACTTCGAAAGCTAATAAATTGTCTAGCTCACAAGGTTGGACTAATGTAGAGAAGTTCAGATGTCTGCCATCGACAGAAACCTCAAAATGTGATAGGTTTCATTTTTTCGTAAGCAATTAACCAACTTTAACCGGTAGTTGCCAACAGTCTGATAGTGGCACCAAACAACTTGAGGTCAAAGGTTAAACTGTATAGATATCTACAAGGCTTGAGAGTTGCTTACACAATCATGGAATGACTTGTTTTGGGCATGAGAAACATGATAGAACTACTTTACAGCTTACATGAAATGGCTGCTCAAGTGATAATTCCATAAAGAAAAATTGTAAGGTCGATAGTCAATGCCATTACCGAGTTTAAGTTTTAGAAATCAAAAGCTATTAAATAGGATGTATTTACATTTTGTAATCTGGAAACAATTTTTGATAAATTTTTCCACATCTGTTGGCAACAGATAGCTCCACTGCAAAAAGTAATTTTAAANTGTATGCGCTTATCAAGGGCTAAGTATAAAACAGCGAACTTACTGAAGCGCTCAAATTGCTGTTCAAATGATATTACGCGTGGTGGGAGGAGAGGGGAAGTTTCTTCAAAATAAATTGAGCATAGACCCCTCTTTTTCTATAAAGGCTGAATGTTAACCTGTATGCGCTTATCAAGGGCTAAGTATAAAACAGCGAACTTACTGAAGCGCTCAAATTGCTGTTCAAATGATATTACGCGTGGTGGGAGGAGAGGGGAAGTTTCTTCAAAATAAATTGAGCATAGACCCCTCTTTTTCTATAAAGGCTGAATGTTAACCTGTATGCGCTTATCAAGGGCTAAGTATAAAACAGCGAACTTACTGAAGCGCTCAAATTGCTGTTCAAATGATATTACGCGTGGTGGGAGGAGAGGGGAAGTTTCTTCAAAATAAATTGAGCATAGACCCCTCTTTTTCTATAAAGGCTGAATGTTAACCTGTATGCGCTTATCAAGGGCTAAGTATAAAACAGCGAACTTACTGAAGCGCTCAAATTGCTGTTCAAATGATATTACGCGTGGTGGGAGGAGAGGGGAAGTTTCTTCAAAATAAATTGAGCATAGACCCCTCTTTTTCTATAAAGGGCTGAATGTTAACCTGTATGCGCTTATCAAGGGCTAAGTATAAAACTGCGAACTTACTGAAGCGCTCATATTGCTGTTCAAATGATATTACGCGTGGTGGGAGGAGACCCCGCAGCCCCAATCGATCTCTTTCTGTCATAGGGAAACCTGTGTCCTGTTTGCAGACAATAACATCAATAACATCAACTTCAACCAACTATTAAATTTTTTAAAGCATAATTAAGTAAATAATAAGTGTGCTCTCTTTAACAGTTTAAGCTTTTAGATGAGATAATTCACATAATTTAATATGGTATCAAAGTAGGCAGAGGTCCTAGGTTCAAGTTTCACCACACATTGCTAAACATACTTGACCACCGAAACAAAATCAGGCCCGCACGTGAAGGGCGTGTTGAAAGGGATAATTAAGTAAATAAAAGTGTGCCTTATATAACAAATTGAGCTTTTAGATGGAATGATTCACACAATTTAAAGAATCACTCACAGCATAATCAGAATAATTTAATTGATATTGCACCTAGTTTGGGTTGCTTAAGCACTCCCACTTCAAAGGCTATTAAAAATATGTTTTTAAGGTTGTATCAATCCTAGTCAATTGTGAAAGTTTTTGATGTAGAAATCAAGGTCTCCCGAGAAACATAAAGCCTAAAGAGCTGAACTCTTGAAGATGCTAACATTTTTCTTATAAAGCCTGGCGTTTAGAAGACTATCAAACCATATGCCTTCTTGGACAGCCTAAACACCATGACATTGTGGATATCTCTAAATAATGTTTTACTTATAATGAAATTTCTTGAAAAAAGAACACAGTAGATTAAAAATCCCAATGAGGTCATCAGACTCTTTATGCATTATGTGTTCTATCCCACATCTACATTTGGCTTACGAAGTTTTCAGCTTAGTTCCTTTCAGTTTCTGGAATCAAATACCCACATTTTATTTTTGCTGTAGCACCATACTTGAGCCCTGCCTGTGAGTAATTTGCAGGACAATTTGATCGTATTACATATTATACAAGCACAAGTTAACTCATAAGCAACAACACAAGTACACCTCAACCTATATCCATTTCCCCAATAAAATTCTTCAATAAAGAAGCAGACATAAAAACTTAGGTGTAAAAATCTAATTTTTGGACTCATTACTTCAAAAGCAGTCCATATCACATAAACCTAGACAAAGTGACAAACCAACAAAATCACCAGCTTTTGGAAAATTCAATTTTGCCTCCAGATTAAGCTAAAAACCTTATTTTTGACTGCAAGAATTTCACTTAGTAGTAACAGTATAACTTACAAAACAAATCTCCAAAAGAAGTTCCAATTGAACCATTTAGATCATGGCTCAAAATATCAAGAAAGCGTTATCTTTCAATTCTAATTAAGCTACAAATTGAAAAGTTATAAAAAAATAAAAAATCGAACCTTGTTGAACCAAGGATCATGAAGAATATCAGCACCACGCTTGTGGACGATACTTGGAGCTGGAATAGCCGTAGAGAACCGCCGTGTACGGCGGAGAGTCGACGCCGCAGATCGAGCCGCTCTCCACATTGTACGATCCTTAAAGAAAAGTCCTGGTAGAAAGGAAAGAAACCACAACAAGACAACAAAAGTAACAGTGAATCAATGAATTCAACTAATGATGTTGTTGTTTGTGTTTAATGGGTCTCTGTCAACAACAACATGAAGAGAACTACAAGTCCATGAAAATGGTGAAGAGTCAAGAACTCATATTTATACTGTCCTTTTAAGGCTACTTACAGGTGAGTTTCCCCTCTGACTATATATATTCTTTTACTTTTCTTCTTTTTAATTAATTTGACTCTTTCTTTTTCACTCCCTTTTAATCGTTATAAGCATTTCTTTGGATGGTCCTCTGAGTTGGAGCCTTGTAGGCAGAATTTTGAAATTTTAATTTCATTTAGCAATCTAAATTTTAATGTATTTAACTAGACTAACCTTATAATTTCTGTCATAATTACTATTTCCTCCGTTCATTATTTCTTATCCAGTATACAAAAATATATTTTTATTTATTTGTCCATTATAGCAAATCAAGAGAAAGATAATTTTTTTTCTTATTTTACCCTTATTATTAACCACTCATTCCACAAATTATTTTCAATTTTTTTTTGAAATGTTATCATTGTTATGGAAAAATTATAAAATACATATTTTTTTTTTTGTCGAAGGGAGTATAAAATAAAAAATGAACAACTAAAAGTGAACGGAGGAAGTAACTTAATACATAAGTTAAAATAATGTCTTAAACATGCATTGTCGGCTTTATGGTAAAGCAAGTAAGACACTNTATATATATATATTAAAACAATAGAGTACTTTTAGTAAAAGAGTAAATTTTTTCATATAAAGAGAAAAATAATCTATTAAATTTGTGAATAAATCATCAATAATTATTATGAGAGGTATGAATGCGTATAAATTTTTACACTCTCTTTCTTATTTTTTCCAAGTCACAATATTTCTTTCCCTTCTCTCACAAGATTATATACTTTTTTTCTAATTTCTTTCTCCAAGAGTATAAAAGTTCAACCGCTCAAAAGTTTTAGTGGTAAAAATTTAAAATCATTAGATTACGAGAACTTAAATAAATGTTGTCTTAACTTTGAATGTTCCTTAAAATATATTATATTGATGGGTTAGACTTATTTTCTAACTTAAAAATATTTTTTTTTAAAATAGTACAAATAGAAAATAATACTCTAACCGACACATTCAATCAGACAAAAAGACTTGATTCTTTTTCAAATGAATTTATTTTTTTATAAAATAATATTTAACAGTTCATGTAACAATTGCCTCAATACAATAGACATAAGTTTTTTAAAGTTAAAATAAAGAAAATGTTACCTAGGATCAACAATTTTCAAGAAAGATTAAATGAACTGAATATATTGTCATTTGAAAAAAAATTATTCACATTATATCTCAAAAATCTAGAACAGTAGGCTTTTTAAGGAAACAATATGTTTTGGGGCATTTGCATCTATACCCGCTTTTTGGGTCACGTTTTAACTTGTGCCCGTTTTGCAAAAAAAATTGCAAACGTACCCATTTTTTCACGTAACTTCAGCATAAGAGGTTGAATTAGCAAAGGCAATCACGCAAAACTTCAGCATTATAGTAGACGGGCCTGAAGTAGCAAAAATTGTTGAACCAAGTGTGCTGAAGTTTTTGTTTGTAATTGCTGAACTTAAGCATAGTAGCTGAAGTTTTGTTCTCTATTTGCTGAAATTATTGTTTGTAATCGCTGAACTTAAGCATAGTAGCTGAAGTTTTGTTCTCTATTTGCTGAAGTTTTTATTTGTAATTACTTAACTTAAGTATAGCAGCTGAAGTTTTGTTCTCTATTTGCTGAAATTATTGTTTGTAATCGCTGAACTTAAGCATAGTAGCTGAAGTTTTGTTCTCTATTTGCTGAAGTTTTGTTTGTAATTGTTTAACTTAAGCATAGTAGCTGAAGTTTTGTTCTCTATTTGCTGAAGTTTTTGTTTGTAATTGCACTAAATAAGTTGAAGTCTTTTTGTCCTGGATTTATTAGGTTTGCCATTAAGCTTTTTCAAAAATTTCAGCAGAAGATGCTAAAGTTATTTAGTTCATTTATAAAAACTTCAGCACTTGATAAGCTGAAGTTTTTATCCTGGATTCAATAGTTTTGTCGTAAAGCTTTTTCAAAAACTTCAGCATAGATGTTGAAGTTATATAGTTCATTTATAAAAACTTCAGCACTAAATAAGCTGAAGTTTTTTTGTCCTGGATTCATTAGTTTTGTCATAAAGCTTTTTCAAATTATTTAATTCATTTTAAAATTTTCAGCACTATATAAGCTGAAGTTTTTGAAAAAGCTTTCTAACATACTAGATAAATATTCAGATTGCCAACAGTGTCTAAATCATAAATTTTGGAAACAATAAACGTGAAAAGAACAGATTTATCATGAAAAGAATCACTAAGTGTGACCTTAAACTTCCCGTACGTGGAAATATTCACAAATTATTATCTACTAACTTACGTAATTATTTATAATTTATTTTTAAATAATCTGATAAACATACTTATGACAACCATCCCATGAACAAAAGTTTCATAGCAGCATCAACAGCAGGCAGCAGCAGCAGCAGAAGAAGAAGAAGAAGAAGAAGAAGAAGAAGAAGAAGAAGAAGAAGAAGAAGAAGAAGAAGAAAACGAAGGAGGAGGAGGAGAAATGAGGCTGAAATTGTTTAAAAAGTGAATACAAGTTAAAAATAAAAATAAAAATGGATATAGGTTAAATGAGGGCGAACAAATATGATGCCCCGTGCAATTTTTACATATGTTTTACTTTTCAAATTTAAGGCATCTAAATAAATTTTGGCTTTAGGCCTTTAAAATACTTGAGCCGCCCCTGTAAACATGGCAATAAAATATTATATTACACTTTTCTTCTTCACTTTTTTTTAGTTGTTTTCGTTAAATATTGGTAATGCTCATGTAAATTTCGCATGCTCAAGGAAGACGAGTTGCATAGGTTGATATTAAACGAACATGTTGGAACATATTCGTCTAAGAATATTCTATTTTAGGATTAGCCTAAATAAAGTAAAATAAATATAAAAGTTGTATATAGCTAACTTTGTGTGGTTTAGCCCGGATTTTAATTCTCAATATACGTAAAAAGCTAGCTAAATATTGATAAGTAGATTTAGGCCTCATTTGGTTTTTTAGATTAATACATTGAATCTGAATGTACATCTGAATATTAAGATGTGTATTACCATTTGAATACTATATGATAATGAATACCAAATGATTAAGATTGTTTGTTTTTCAACATCTGAATAAATAACATTTATCTTTATTTAAAAAATAATAAATATAAAATTTAAATAAAATAGTAATTTACTTATTATTTTATCAACAAAATATTTTTTAAAATTATACATGGTAGTTGATGGTGGTGATGGCTAACGATGGTATTTGTGGATGCCGATTACAGGCGGTGGTTGGTAGTGGTTTTGGTTGATAGTGGTAATTCTAGGTAGTAGCTAGTAGTGAATGGTAGTAGAGATTATGGTTGAGAATAGTGGGTAAAGCACATGTGTGTCCTAAAGCCCACGTTTAATGAGAGGCCTAAACTTTTAAAAGACCGTTGAACGCTTGAACTAATAAAATCTTGGAAAGATAAGGTGAGTAATGAAATCTTGGATCGGAGAAAGAAGATGAATAAGAATATCAAACGGAAAGACAGAAAAAAACGTGCTTTCTGAAATATGAAAAGATTAGGGGAAAAAATTAACTTGGACAAATTAAGGAAGGAAAGTAATTTTTTTTATATGTTATCTAATAAAAGAGTAAAAAGTTAAATTTTCAAATCAACTTAAATTGAAATGTTTATAAAATAATTTATCTACCCATTTTTTAGTAAGTAAAATTGTTACTTTATTTATATATCTAAACAAAAATTATTTTCTTTATATGAATTTTTTTACTTTTTGTGTTAAAAGTACTAAATATAATATTATTTTTTTAAATACCTATAAATTCATTATTTCTAAAAAAAAATGGGTCCTCAAATTTGGGGGCCTAAGACACAAGTCTTACTTGTGATAAAAGTGGAGCCGACCATGGTGGGTGGTACTAGTTGATAATGGTGGATGATGATGATGGTCGTTGAGGAAGGTGGTGGTAGTTCATAATGGTGGACACTAGCTGTTATTGTTAATAATAGTGATGAGAGTGGTTGGTGGTGACAGTTAAGGCGGGTAAATAGATGGTTGTGGTTGAGGATAATTATGATGGCGGCAGTGGTAATTGATAATTGGGGTATGGTGAGTGGTGGTAGTCGATAATGGAAAGGTGACAGATGGTGGTAGTCAATAATGATGGCGATGATCATGATACTTGAGGATGGTGGCGGTCGGTGGTGGCGGTTGAGTATCGAGGTGGTGATTTGTGCATGGTGCCAGTTGATAATGATGCAGAATAGCAGTAATTAATTGTGATTGTGAACAATAACATCTTAATGAATTAAATCTTTGTTATAAATCTTAATCATTAAGACCTATTGAGACCCATTAAATGATTGTGAAATAAAAAAAACACTTACTAATCAATATATTAATGATTTAGATTCAAACTTAAAAACAAATGCCCTTAATGTGTTAAATGTGGATAATTAAGATTCAGACTCCCATTAAGTGCAAACAAATGAGGCATAGTATAATTTAAACGAACAGAGTTATAGCCTAGTTGGCCAAGCTTCTCCAAACCAAAAGCAATTTGGTTTTCAAAGTTGAAGTGTTTGGTCAAGCTTTTAGAGGGAAAAAAGTGATTTTGAGTAGAAGCAGAAACAATTTTGGGGAAGAAAAAATAATAATTTCTCTTCAAAAAATACTTTTTGAAAAGCACTTTTGAGAAAAATACACTTAGAAATAACTTTTTAAAGCTTGGTCAAACGCAATTGTTGCTCATAAGTGTTTTTCAAATAAGTTAACCAAACACAAATTATTTCTCACCAAAAGTACTTTTAAAAAAATATTTCTCAAAATAAGTCAATTTTTACAGCTTGACCATGTTATTATCCTGATTGATTATTACTCCCTCTGTTCTAGTTTATGTGAACCTATTTCCTTTTTGGTCTGTCCGAAAAGAATGACCCCTTTCTAAATTTGGTAACAATTTAGCTTAAAGTTACAATTCTATCTTAATGAAAAGCTTTTATAACCACACAAATACTCTAGATCCTTTTTTGACTTGTT